GTGAGTGCTGGGACATTTTTCCCAGCCTGGAAAGGAGCTTGGTGGGAATTGCTGGAGCCGGGGAAGCAAATGCCTGTGCTCAGCTCCTGGATCTTCCCTGCACGGCGAGCGCTTGCTGCCATCTCCCTGCCTGTGGATGAGCTCCCACTGCTGGGATTTCCTCGCCGGGTGCAGGGTGTGTAGCAAGGGCAGAGTATTTGCAACTCGCCGTAATGACTCGAAACAATCAGCTCCATCCAAACAGGATGATCGAGGCTCTTGCCTCCGGATCTGACACCCCCCATGTGCCCAAAATCCCTGGGAGCGGGGACCCTGCCCCATCTGTCCCTTTGCCCAGTTCACGCTGGACAAAGATGTGCGTGGAAGGAGACAGGGTACGGCCAGTTCCGCTCTGCAGTCCCTGAACCGATTCCTTCGCCCTCCTTAGAGCCGGAGGCAGGCAGCAGCGCTGGCCCCTGCCCAAGGGCTGCGCTCGGGGAATTCACCTTCAGCAGCTCCATCGCGTCCCAGGGCTGGCTGGGAGCCCTGCGTCCTCACCCTCGGTTAGCCGGGGGGTCACGGGCGGTGCGGGGTGCTGAGCACCCAGCTTGGGCGGGGTTCTGGACCCTTGCACGGCCCCTTGTCACCCTGCTGTTGTGTCGGGTCCGGTGCTGCCATGGGGGACGTTGGGGTGTCGGTGTGGGGAGCGAAGGGCGTGCCCTAATTCCAGAGCTGGGGCTGGAGGAGGAGGCAGGGGTTTGGTTTTTGGGGGCTGCTGTTGGCACTGCAGGGCTTAGGGGAGCGGGGGAGATGGGTGGATGACTCTGCCTCTGAGCTTCATGGGGTTTTGGATGGCTAAAGCCCGCTGTGGAGCCTGGGGAAGCTGCAGGGAAGCAGCGGGCGTGATTTATGTCTGGGAGCCGGCTGCAGAAATTCCCGGGCAGGGCTGGAGTTTGCTTTCCAGGCAGTTCTGCAGAGCTGGGCTGAGCGCGAGCCAGGGCGGCAGGATCGCCGGGACTGCAGTTGATACTCTTTCCTCCCTCTCTGGCAGGACGGGATCTGCAGAGAGCCACTGCGGCGCAGCCGGGAGCTCCCGCTGTTTGCTGGCGGGGGGAGGAAGGGTAATAAACCCCAGGTAACCGAGGCAGGGAGGAGAGTCCTGGCTCACACCAGGCTGCCCGGGAGGCGGTTTGCTCGTGGGACAGCATGGTGACAGGCTTGTCCCCTCTAACAGCATCAGGACCATGCTGTCAACACCCAAAGCAAGCCCTGAACCCATGCAAACCCTTTCTCTCAGACTGCCCACCAAGCTGGCTCAGGCTGCGGGCTCTGCTCAGCGGGCTCAGCCCCCAGATTTTATCCCAATTTTCTTTTTATCCCTGCTGAGGATCCCTGTCCAGCTTGGACAGGGAACAGAGGACGCAGTTTCTGTGGCCGCTCACAGGGCTTTGCTGCATTTGGCTTTCAAGCTGCTCATTTACATTTTAAAACCATTTGCAAGCTCTTTTTTTGTTTTTTTTTTTTCCCCACTTGGCTCTGCTTTCCGTGCTCCTCCCTGTCCAAAGCAGCAAGGCCACTGCGGGGTTTCAAGGTCGCTCCTCTGGTTTCTTCGCTGTTGGGTGAAACGACCGTTAAAGACAAAAATCCCTGCTGACCTTTAAAGAGGGCTCTCACTGCCGGCGCCTCGGGCTGCCTCAGCCTGCCGAGCCGTAAATCTGCCCTAAAATGCCTGAATTATATCATACAGCTTCGAGTGCTGGGCGGAACCTCCCGCCCGTTGCATTGCCAGCACGGCTGCCGGGGCAGGGATGGGTTCTGGAAGAGGCTCCGTCCGATCTCGCCACGTGCGTGGCCGGGCGCTGGCAGATCCGCATCCCCTTGCGCCAGCGTTGGGCTGAGCCCCGGGTTTCGCTCGGTTCCTCTTCCCAGCCCAGAGCTGTTCCCTGCGTGGGTGTGAGGGAGGACTTGGGGGAGGCAGAATTTTCCCTAGAAAAGCGTTTCTCAGCCTAGGAGACGCGAAGTCGGGGCGATCACTGATCCCTGTCTGTGGGGGCTGCCTGGCTCCGCGTGGGATGGGGCGAGCGGAGCGGCTGCTGGTGGGAGAAGCGAGTCAGGGCTGGAGCCTGGGCAGGGCTGAACGCTAGTGTCTTCAGCGTCTTCCTCCTCCTCCTCCTCCTTGGCATGCTCATTGGCAAACCGGCCAGTTCCCCGCTCCTCGGCAGACCCCGCGGTGTGCCGGCGTGGCTGTGAGGCGCTCGCCCTGCCCTGGTGAACGCACTCTGCTGGCAGCACCAAGAGCTTCTCCAGGCGCTTCATCTCCTTGTGCCTCCTCCCACGAGAGCCTAAACTCTTCCCCTCCCCTGGTCTTTCCTTCCCAGAACTCTCCATCGCGACCGCAGGAAGGAAGCTATCGTCCCTCAGCCCCTCTGGTCTGCCCCTCCTCGCAGGGACACGCTGCTCGCTGGAGACCATGACGGACTCCAAGTACTTCACCACCACCAAGAAAGGTAAGAGAAGGAGCAGGAGGGTCCCACGAGGTTTTATCCAAAACAATTGGGCTTTTCCTGCAGCGGTGTGAGCTGGGGAGGGCCAGCCCTGCTGCGGGAGGGAATGCCTCTGGTGGGGACACCCCGAGCCGGCGCGGGATGCTGCGCCTGACACCGTGCTCCTCGCTCCCATGCAGCTCCTGGGCTGCCGAGGGGTCAGAGCACCTCATCACCAGCCCCCCGACCCCGGACAAGGCTGTCGGCAGCCGGGTGATCGGCTTGAGCAGCTCAGGAGCGGCTGCGGGACACGACCGTCCCCGAGCTGCCCTGGGCTGGGACAGAAGCGCTGGGGACGTTCGGCTTAAGCTCTTTTCAGACCGAGGAATTAACATAGAGGAAAGCCGTGTGGCGGCGTCCTCTGCAATCTGCTCCCCCAGGGGTGACCAAAGAGCTCGGGATGGGAGCTGATGTCCTTGGGCTGGGCTGGGGGATTGCTGCCATGTGCAGAGTGGGATTTGGGAGCCGCCATCCCCTGCGTGGCCCTGAGCAGTTCCCAAAATCCGCCTGCGTTTGCCAGTGAGGGTGCCAGCCATCACGCGGGCTGCGGTGGGCTCACCGGGTCAGGGAGGGGCTCCCACAGCCGTGTGTGGGGCTGGGGCATCGCTGTGTGCTGTGATAACCACCCCCCAGCCAAAAATACCCAAAAAATAAACCCTGTGTCCTGCGCCTGGAGTGCGGGGTGCTGGCGCTTGTCACCCCTGCGGTGTCTCTGGTCCTTAAACCCCTCCCTGGGGCTCCTGTGGGGCTGGAGGTGCTGCGGGGAGGCACTGCCATGCTCGTCTCCGTTTTCACAGAGGAGAGCTGAGCCCTTTTGGGGGGTTAAATCCACCTTTTCCAGCTCCTGACACCCCGCAGCAGCTGGGTGGGAGCTGTGCTTGCCCTCCCCTGCGAGCAGCCCCCCCAGCCAAGGGGTGGGTGCCCCGTCGCCTCACCCCATCGCTCCCCCTTTTCCTCCAGGGGAGATATTTGAGCTGAAAGCCGAACTCAACAGTGACAAGAAGGAGAAGAAGAAGGAGGCCGTGAAGAAGGTGATAGCGTCCATGACCGTCGGCAAGGATGTCAGGTGCGTGGCGGTGCTGGGCTGGGGGTGCCCGGATGGTTTGTGGGCTCTCATTTTCCCCCATTGTCTCTGAGCGGGTTTCGTGCTGGTTTTTATCTCAGGTGAGGACCAAGCGAAGTCCTGGCTGCAGCTATACCCCCTGCTACGGGAGGAAAATGTTTAAGCGTGGCTGGCTGGCGGCGGGGGCTCGCCGGGCTTTGGGGGTAATCTGCCTGGAAGAGGATTGGTCTGGCCGCCAGATAAAATTGTTGGGATTATTGCTGCTTCCTTCAAGGGTTGCTAAAACCAAGCAGAAACCCCTCTGAGCCTTCACGGCAGAGGGTCGGTGTCTCTGCCGCGCTGTCGATCAGCCTTTTGTGGTTCAGTCCCAAAGGTCAGGCGGCTGCTTCTCCCTCTTCCTTTTTCCGCCCGGTTGAGCAGCATGTGGCCCCTCCGTCTCCTCCTGCCCTTCTTGGCATTACCCGCAACGTCAGCGCTTTGCTTTTTGTTCTAGAGGAGATGGAGGAAAACCGCAGCGTGAGCTCCTGTGTTTGGAGATCTGGGGTGTCCCCAGCTTCCCGAGCGCTTGCAGCAGTGGGTGACGCTCTGTCTTGGGGACACCGTGGGGAGGATGACACAAGGCGTGGCAGGGACTTGCCTGAGGCTGGTCACGCTCATCGATTGGAAAGGAAATATCAGCTGTGGCAGCCCATTTTTATTTTTCCTGCGTATTTTAGGCTGCAAGGAAGCAGTCTGGGAAGCTCACCCCAAACTGGGAGGTTCTGGGAAAGTCTGGTTTAGCCTGGGGGGAGCAGCAGAAAGGGGTGCTGGGAACAAAGTGCCGTAGCCTGGGCTTGGGATGCTCTGGGTGGGATCCCGTAAGCAGTGTCTGGGTTTGCGGCGGTGGAGGAGCTTCAAGATGCCAAGGGACATCTGTTGGGGTGGGGTAACGCCAGCGTTGGCCCTCTGAGCTTGACTGCCTCTCCTAAGGGGTTTAATCGTCTAATTGGGCTATTTGTGTCTTTAATGGTTTTTATTGTCTGCGGTGAAACAGCGTCTCTGGCATCCCACAGCTTCGGGGTGTTTAGTTCTGGCCAGGGTGGGGTTTGGGAAGGGAACCCCCAGCCCCAGGCAGGCAGCTCCAGTCCGTCCCAGCAGAGCCGTGTCCTGCCGCTGGGCTCGTCTGGGGCGCGGGGCTGTTCCTTACCCCCGCTCCTGTGGGTTTATTTCTCTGACGTGATGTTTCTAGTGTTGGACGTGGGGCGAGCGCTTGGCAGTTTGCAGCAGGAGAGGTTTAATGCCCACAACAGCAGAGGATGGTTTTGGTCGGGCTGTGCGGGAGGGCTTGTGCAGAAGGCCAGGGTGGAACGGCTCGTCACCGTCCCGTGATGGCAGGGTGATGTCACACCTCCCAAGGCAGTGGACGCGCACTGGAGCTGGGATACAGCAGAGCTGCGTGAGAGAGCTCAGTTTTGGTCCATCAGGGACCGTTTTGAGCGGCTCCTGATACAAATCCATAAAGGAAACCCCCATGGGATGGGTGATTGAGCCACATCTGCTGCAGGGTGGGCTCAGCTCTGGGGTCTCCTGGCTTTAGGAGCCATGGGGTGCCATCGACAGCGGCGTCTCCTTCCCTCGGCTCAGCATGGGCCGTATCCTGCCTTCACGGAGGTGCTTTGCCTTTCAGTGCTCTCTTCCCGGACGTGGTGAACTGCATGCAGACGGACAACCTGGAGCTGAAGAAGCTGGTGTACCTCTACCTGATGAACTACGCCAAGAGCCAGCCTGACATGGCCATCATGGCAGTCAACACCTTCGTCAAGGTGAGACGAGAGGGCCGCACGCCCCAGAGCCGCACGACCCAGCGGGTTGGTTCACCCCGCTTCCGTCCAAGGCCACCGTGCTGAGCTGCTGGGTACCCCGCTCCGGAGAGGGGAGCTTGGGCAGGTTTCCAAAGGCTCTTTCTTTGAGATTAGGGGCTCCCTGAGCTCTGGATAACAGAAAATTTGTCCAGTAATGCAAAAATCCACATTTTCTTGGCAGCTGTGCTGTGCTGCTTGCTCTGTCATTGTCACTTTGGCTGTGGGCAGCTCCCGTGATCAAACTGCTGTCATGTGAGTGTACGTGCCAGAGCCTCTGCAGCTGAGAAAGTTCCCGTGATCTTCCCGTCGGAGTTGGGAGCTGAAGAGCATGTTTGTTAGGAGCTGAGATATTGCCAAAGAGCTTTGGGAAAAGGCTAGGTGGGCGTTAGAGGGAGTTTTGGCTTTTTAGGAGTTAAAACCCCGCACAATAAATATTTCCCAGGCCAGGTGGCCATGGCTGCCTTCAGAAACTTGGTGTGAGTGATCAGATCCCTGGGGGTGTGTTTGGAGTGTCGGTATTCAAGCTCTGGGGGTGCCAGATTGCAGAACGAGAGCTCAAACCTCACTCTCGGGTGACTTGTTCTTGAGAGCCGAGTGTTAAAACCTCCAGACTTCAGCTACCCCAGTGAGAATGGAGATCCCAAAGCCACCTCTGACGCCTGCAATTCCAGGAGGAGGAGGAGGACCTGGCGATCTAACCTAACCTCCCTCTCTCGTCCCCACAGGACTGCGAGGACCCGAACCCCCTGATCCGGGCTCTGGCCGTGCGCACCATGGGCTGCATCCGCGTGGACAAGATCACGGAGTACCTCTGCGAGCCCCTGCGCAAGTGCCTGAAGGACGAGGACCCTTACGTGCGCAAGACGGCCGCCGTCTGCGTGGCCAAGCTCCACGACATCAACGCCCAGCTGGTGGAGGACCAGGGCTTCCTGGACACCCTCAAAGACCTCATCTCTGACTCCAACCCCATGGTGAGTATTTTTTGCCTCCTCCATTCTCTTGTCTCTTCATCTGAACGGCAGTCAATGCCGTCCCTTCACCCCGTGCTCCCCTTCGCTCTCTTTTTGGTCCTTAACAGCCCGCTTTTGGGGGCAGCAGCTTCTGACGGCTGCAGGCTCTGTTCCTTCTCCTGTAACCCTCTCTCCTGGATGGAAGGCTTCTCTGATTCCTTAGCAGCACATTATTAGTCTGCTCCCAATGTGGAGGACACTGCCCTGGCCAGCTCGGAGCAGGGCTGGTGGCAGAGAGGAGCTGATGCTCAGCTCTGACACCGTGGAGCTGGTGGCTCTTGCCTCCGGTGAGGGTTTCCGAGCAGCTGGGTTTGGCCAGTGTTACTCTCCGTGCCTTTCCCCAGGCAGGAGCGACTTGAAAGCCTGCTCTCCACAGGGTTTCTCTCCTCCCAGCCTTTCCTGCTCTTCAGATCTTGCCCCAGGCGTAGCAGCAAGAAAGCCAGGGGGCTCTGCAGAGCTGCCCGGGGATGGGGAGCAAGAGCCGGTTCCTCCCCACCAGGCGTGGGGCCAAAGCTGGCTCCTGCCGAACACATGTGAACTGTTGGGGGTGTGGCGTGGGCCGAGGGACCGCGTGGGCGTGGGCGGAGGGACCGTGCTGGTGGCGGTTGCTCATCTCCTGGTGGGGAGGAGAGGCTGGTGCCCAGATGTTGCTGGGCTGCGCAGTGCTGATAGCGAGGATGCAGCTCATCCGCTTCCACCAGCTTCCCCCCAGGCTGTTGAACCATGTTTGGTGCCACCTCATGCTTGTTGTCCCCTATCACCTGCCCTGTCCCCTCTGGCAGGTGGTGGCCAACGCAGTCGCGGCTCTGTCGGAAATCGCTGAGTCCCCCCCGAGCAGCAACCTCCTGGACCTCAACCCCCAATCCATCAACAAGCTGCTCACGGCCCTGAACGAGTGCACGGAGTGGGGCCAGATCTTCATCCTCGACTGCCTGGCCAACTACATGCCCAAGGACGACCGGGAAGCCCAGAGGTGAGCAAGGCTCCGGGTGCTGCTGGGGCACCACGGCCCGGCTGGAGAGGGGAGGGGGACGGGCGGGTACCGACACTGCCCCTTCTCCAAACATCTTCATCCTCCTGACCCTCAGCGTCCTGCTGTGGGAGGTGGGAGAGCGGGTGGCTGCCGGCCACCGTGCCTTGGGCACAGCCATCTGGGTACTGCCAGGGTCCTGTATGAGCCCTGTCCCGGCACGGGATTTGTGCTTCTTGAGCTGCTTCAAAATGTGGGAGGGGAGGACAGGCAGTAGGGAGCTCAGAAAGGGTCACGCCAACAGGGTTGGGTAAAAGCTGTGAAATAACCATTGTCGGGAGATCTAAGAGGCAATTCAGCATCTCTTGGGAAGATCTCGAGCGCTGCTGCAAACTCTGCCAGTGCCTTGTTCTTTGTCGGTGCTGGCAGCGATATTTAAGCAGGGAGACAGGCTGTGATCGTTTTCTTTCCCTTCTTCCCCCTCGCCCCCCACCACCTCCAGCATTTGCGAGCGGGTGACGCCCCGGCTGTCACACGCCAACTCGGCGGTGGTGCTCTCGGCGGTGAAGGTGCTGATGAAGTTCATGGAGATGCTGTCGAAGGACCTGGATTATTATGGCACCCTGCTGAAGAAGCTGGCCCCGCCGCTGGTCACTCTGCTCTCCGCGGAGCCCGAGCTGCAGTACGTGGCTCTGCGCAACATTAACCTCATCGTGCAGAAGAGGTGGGTGCCCCGGCACGGCAGGAGGGACGGCCTGGCTTGGGATTTCCCTCTTCTCTGCAGCTCTGCTTCCCAACACTTCAAACCCTCGGGCTGCAGAGGTGTCAGGGATTTGCTGACACAACCCATTATGTGGGGTTTTTTTTTCTCTACTAGTTAAAATCCAAGGGCTGAGCGCAGAGGTGGGTGAGGCAGTGAGCAGGGAGCTAAGCTGGGATCTCCAGAAGGGATTTGTTTTAATTTGTTGTTTATTTGGGGGAGCAAAGGATGGAAAGGCCAAAAGCTGAGACTTTGGGTTAGTCATTAGCTGTCTAGCAAGGAGTTTCTGTGCTATCAGCTTGTTTTTCTGCAGTCGTCCTCTTCGAATAAGTGCTGAGAATCCTTTTGTCCCTTTGCTGATCTAAAATTGCTGGTGGGCAGGACGTGTCCGAGAAGAGGTGGCCAGCTGGAGAGCCCTGCTCCGCGGTGACAGCCACAATCAGATGATTTATTGTCCCACCAGCTATCGCCGTGGTTGTCTATTAAAAATAGCGGCAATTTCTGGGAGAAGTGGAAAGCAATTAGCATCCCTGGGAGCGGGGATGAGGAAGGCAGGCTGGCTCCTTGGAGCTGGCCCTGGCCCATCTCTTTCCCAGCTTCGAGCGAGGATGAGCTGGTGAGGAAGGAGCTGGCCCTGGCCCATCTCTTTCCCAGTTTCGAGCGAGGATGAGCTGGTGAGGAAGGTCCAGCCTAGCCCTGGGGTCTGGGTTTGCATCCCGGCTCCCCCCGGGATGTCCCTCCCGACCTTGGCAGGACAAACGGCCCCTGTTGCCTCGCGTCTGGTCTTGGTTTGCGGCAAGGTTGGGCTCTGTCCCCTGTGTGAAGGGGAGCCAAGGGACAGAGTCCTGGGGGGTATAATCACGGGATCTGGGATTTCTCAGCATTGAACCCCAAACCTTGTGCTTGTGGCCACAGAGCCTCGTCCTCCTGGCCCGGAGCTGCTGCTCTTTGGCTCTGGGTTTCCCCATTTTACGTCCTTGAGCATTCCCCAGCTCCCACTGTGGGCAAGGAGCGATGATTCGTGCCTGTAGCACTGGAGTGATGGATTTCCACAGACTCGGGGCATTCACTGGCTGCGGGGTCGGGTAGGGAGCGATGATTCGTGCCCGTAGCACTGGAGTGATGGATTTCCACGGACTCGGGGCATTCACTTGCTGCGGGGTCGGGTGAATGAACCCCCACCCGTCTCCTGACCGGTGGGCAGCTTTCTGGGGAGGACAGCTCCCTTTCTGCGCTTTGCAGAGCTCAGATCTTGCTTCCGCCACTGGAGAAATCATCCCATCGCAGTATCTGATGTCCAGAAAGCTCTGAAGAAAACCACGGTTTCTGGAAGATCTTTGACGTCTCTTTGTCATTGAAGGAATGGAGCGTGTCTCTCCCCTAATCGCTGCCTCTCGTTGTCCTCCAGGCCTGAGATCCTGAAGCACGAGATGAAGGTGTTCTTTGTGAAGTACAACGACCCCATCTACGTCAAACTGGAGAAACTGGACATCATGATCCGCCTGGCTTCCCAGGCCAACATTGCCCAGGTCCGGCTCTGCCTGAGCGTGCTGGTGGGGCACCACGGGGGTTGTGTGGGGGGCTCCAGCCCTGCAGGGGGGGAATTCCCCCCAGAAATCCTTACCCCAGCTTTGCAGGAGCAGCCGTACCCCCCAGTCTGCTTCTGCGGGGTCACTGTCCCCCTTTTCTGGTGGCTTTTGTTGCGCTGGGGCTCTGACGGTGGTGTCCCCGGGTAGGTGCTGGCAGAGCTGAAGGAATACGCCACGGAGGTGGACGTGGACTTCGTGAGGAAGGCGGTGCGAGCCATCGGCCGCTGCGCGATCAAGGTGGAGGTGAGGGCTGGGGGTCGTTTTGGGGTGGCCACTGCGGTTGGGCACGGCATCGCTCTCCAGTGCATCTTGGATGAGCCAAGGGATGTCCCACCCCAGGAGTTAGCCCTGCCCTGATGAGCTAGAGCCATCCTGGGCCAAGGGACGAGCCATGGTTGTTCCCTGGGCACGTACGGAGGGTGTTTCATCCCTCACCTTTTGCTGCTGGAGCTGTTTTAGGGTCCCTGCTGCCCTGTGCCCCGTTGATGCCTCCAGCTGTGCCTGATGTGCTCATGCAGCGGATGATCCGAGCAGCTTGTCCGGGGGCTGGGAGGGAGCTCGTCCTTTAGAATCAGAGAATCATTAAGGTTGGAAAAGACTTCCAGGATCATCAAGTCCAACTATCAACCCACACCACCCAGCCCACTAACCCATGTCCCCAAGCACCACATCTACACATTTCTTGACCCCCTCCAGGGATGGTGACTCCACCACTGCCCTGGGCAGCC